CATCATTAATTGTTTATTGATTTATAATTAATTATTGTAATACATAAGTACATACATAACAGTGCCGCGTAGCCTTTGTATTCGTCTACCCTCCATGCGGTCATTTTCCCACTCCTTAACAGGATCAAAGTCTTCTTGAAGCCAATGGCTCTTTACCCAACTTTGATCGTTATAGTGATCCCATTTTGTTTAGGTTACCCATTCGCAATGATGGGTGAGTTCTGTTCCTCATAACCCCCTTCTAGTGAAGAAGAACCACTCCTGGTCTCCCAACATTTCGTGATTTCCTATTATCATTAGGACTTAATTAAGTAAAATATGTAAATATTGAAACAGAGCTGCTGGCGGACAAAGTGATGTCATAATTTATTTTGCATATATTTGAAATTCGTTTGGAAATGTTTATTAATTTTTCAATTATTGGTGATATCATTAATTTAGGATTTGAAATGATAATATTAGTTAAATTTAAATATTAGTTAACTGAAATGGGTTTATAAAATTATTAGGTTTGTTTATGCCTTTTAGTAAAAAACCTACCTTTTAGAGTTTTATGTAATAATAATAGTAATTCAATTAAACTGCTTTTCACATTTTTAGTTAATTAAAACGTTAATTTGAAACTCGTTTAGAAATATATACTAAATTCTAACAATTATTGTTAATGCCTTATTTAGGATTTTTAATGATTTAAGTACGTTAGGATTTAATTTAAACATTACTTTAGTGTGAATTATTATTGTAAATTATTTGAATACCATTTAATTTAAATGTTAGTTAATTTTTTGTGTACTATAAGATTTTCAAAATTTTAGTATTGCGAATTAATGATTTAGTGTATTTAGTGTGGATTAATGATTTAGTGTCATTAATGTGATGATTTAGTGTATTTAGTGTTAAAATGTTAATATTTTGAATTAATGCCATTAACGTATACAATTTGATTTGAATGTATTTAGTGTTGAAAATCTTAGTATTGTGAATTATTATGATTCAAAAGTTGGTTAATTGCAATGATTAAAGCCATTAACGTATTGTTTTTAGTTAATTAATAATATTATATTAATTAAACGTAAGTTAATTTTATTGAACTTTAGTGTTCAATATATTAATGTTCCTAAATATTTATTAGTGAAATATATATTAAACATAACAAATTATTGTTAATGTTTATAATTTATAGTTTTTAACCAATATAATATTTTGATTATAATATTCAGACATAATGTAGAGACAAAATAGAAGTTGGATGTATGATGAACATGACGAATTGTAATCTAGCTCTCAATGAAAGCACCAAATTAAATGATAGATTATTTAATCTAGAGAGAAGGGAAAGCTAGAGAGATAAAGTGATATGTATAAATAAATTTACAACCCTTTACATGGCTCCCATAGGGAGTATTTATAAGAGAAAAGTGGGTTGGGCTTCTAGGCTTGGGCCAGGCAGGCCCAATTACAATAAAAGACAAATAAATGGTATTTAATCTATTCAAATGGATATACATGAATAAATATAGTGTACAATAATGTAAATGCTATCTGATGAGCGTACGTGGGCCACTGTCCGGGCTCAATAGTCGTGAGACCCGGGGGCCCGAGTCTATATTATCAGTAAGTTATAAAAAAAAAATTGTCTTTATATATTTATATAAAGCATTCTTTATATAAACATATAAAGATAATTTTTATAACTTGTATTTCTATTACGATCTATATAAATAAAATATTGTGCTTAAAATCATTAATGTTCTAAAAGATGGTAGGCGCTAGTCAAGCACCAGCCTAGCGCCTAGGCGGGAGCCTACACAGGGCCTAGTCGGAGACACGCAAATTGTATTTTTATCAATTTGTTTTGCATAAATATGATAAGTATACATAGTAAAATGATAATATCGTATTTGTGTGTGCATGAAAAATATATACACACGCATTAACATGTATGAATGATAGAATTGTCACATGCAATAATGTATGATAACTAATCAATTAACTGCATTATGTTGTAAATATTAAATAATTATAAAATTTAAGTTTATTTAAAAATATATATACATAGTAGTTTTTATCTTAATATAGAAGTATCTTTCTGCATATTCGTGATTAAAGTTGAAGCTAAGGTACACATAAAAAGAAATTTAAAAAAGCGAAAAGGGTCATATAGGCCCTCGAACTTACACAAAAAAGTCAAATAAGCCTTATATAAGAGGCTTTGTCCGTCCGACGCCATTTGGGGCGGTTTCCGGTGCAATTGTTTAATGAAATTTTTTGAGAATCTTATTCATTAAGTCTAGTTTATTCATACTAAATTTCAGCTAAAACTTCAATAGGGAAGGCATTCAAATGAATTATTGAAGATAACTATTCTTCAAATAGCTAAAACTTCAATAGGGAAGACATTCAAACTGCAATTGTTTTATCTTCAAATTTTTCTCATGATTGAATTTCTTGTCGCTTAGGAAAATCACAACGATTACCTATTCAAAAAGTGTGACATAAATCTACTTCTCCGTTGTTTTTAATTCATTCAAATTCATTCAAATGTTTGGCAATCTCATGTTGTTTCTGCAAGTGGCTTTAAATATTATATTTTATTTATTGATTATATCTCCCGGTTTACATGGCTTTATCCTATGTATGCGCCGTAAAAGTGAAGTTGTGAGCCATTTTCAAAATTTGAAATTAATGGTGGAAAATTTATTTAATTCTAAAATTAAAAATTTTCAAAGTGATGGAGGGGTTGAGTTTGATAATCATGGTATGCGTGAAATTTTTCTTAACAACGGCATTTTGTTTCGGAAATCTTGCCCCGATACTCCTGAACAAAATGAAATTGCCAAACGAAAACATAAACATTTACTTAAACTAACTCGCAATATGCTTCTTGAGGAAAAAATGCCGGCTAGTATCTGGGTAGATGCCGTGTTTACTGCTACATATATTATTAATCGTCTCCCACTCCTAATTTAAATGGTGTTTGCCCATTTGAAAAATTATTTCACCACTCTCTCGACTTCTCTTTTATGCGTGTATTTGGTTGTGCTTGTTTTCCAAACTTTATTGCCACCTCTACCAATAAATTGTCACCACGATCAATTTTGTGTGTCTTTTTGGGATATGCCCCTGAGTTTAAAGGTTATCGTTCTCTTGATCCTATTATTGACAAGATTTACATCAATAGGAATGTTCGTTTTTATGAAAATATTTTTCCATATTCCGACTTGATCTCATCCTCAAACCTGGTGCAGTGCCACATTTGTCTCCAACTGCTACTGTTCATTTACATGAGAGCACTTTATCCGGGTCTTCTACACCACCACCATCCCCCATTCCAACCATTGCCGGCCGATCTCCCACCTGCAACCCTCGGCGCAGCTCCAGTCTGCTGCCGGTCAGCATGATCCGCCACCCATAATGCCCACAGCCTCTCCAGCCCATGCCGGACTCCAAGCCGACCATAGTCCACAGACCCACCCACTCTCCCTTGCCACTCTGCCGGTCTGCCCTCTCGCCGTCTAGTTCACCAGCCAACACACCACTTTCTTCGTTCAATCAGTCTGCTCCTAGCCTGACAGATCATCCACCTTCCCCGCGTGCACCTTCCCCGGTGAACTGTCATCCGGTGCAAACTAGAGCTAAATCTGGGATTTTTAAACCCAAAACTATTTCTAATCTCAAAACGGATATTTCGGCATGTGATCCTTCTTGTTTTTCTACAGCAAATAAAAATGTTAAATGGAGAGAGGCTATGGTGGAGGAGTTTAATGCACTTGTTGATAATCATACCTGAGATTTAGTGCCATTTAATCCTCGTAAAAATTTGGTCGGGTCTAAATGGATTTATAAAACTAAATTTAATTGAGATGGGTCCGTTGAGCGCACTGGTGGAAAAAATGTGATATGCGGCGCATTTTTTGGACAAGTGCGGCGCTTTTAAGCGCCACATATCTGACCGCCGCACAAAAAATATTAACGGCGCGGTATACGGCACGTCTGGTGGGTCAAGAATTTACTCAACAAGCTGGTGTGTATTCTGTTAATTTTTTCTCACTGAATATCTATCTCCCGCCTGGAGCTGCCATTTGTTGTAATCTCAAACAATCAAGACACTATATTAAACACCAAGATCTCCTTACTTCAAATCATCAAAATCCTATGCACGGAAGACTAGGAATTAAAAAAAGCATCAAATAATCACTTAAAATTATAAAACATTTACATCGTTTCATAAAAAACAGTCATAAGCTTCTAAACCGATATCCTATATCTTAAAATCTAAACTATAGACTATATCATACCATTCATATACCTGTTACCGAGTACTACATAGTGAACTCATTGTCACATGGCATGCCCATACACAATCTATTTGCGGACATCATGCTAGTGGTGGTAGAGTATCACTCAGATAATTCCCACAAGAGATCATAACATGCTAAGCTAATAAAAATGAGACAACCAACACCCCGCTATCTGATGCAACCCCTCATTTGCTATAAATGCTAGAAGGAAAGCATCAAGGCAAACCAACTTCACACTACAAACCGGCTGCCCTGCACAAACTCACACAGTGTTCGAATCGCAAACATGCCAAGGGGATCCATTATTCTTGTAGAGCAAGATTTGTATATGTACAAATTACTTTGTTCTCATCATGATTTTTTCAATTTTATGTCAGTGCTACAACTGCAATTGGGTTATTAATGAATATTTATGGGCCCTTGCAATTTTTTCTGTAAATAATTAGTTTCTTCTTCTTCCCCTTTTTGTTTTATCTCATTTCCTTTTTCAAATTGGATTAATTTTTCAGTTTGCTGTATTGTTTAGGACTTTTCACTTATGTGCTTAAAGTGTTTGCTTATTTGCAGTTGTGAGACTCCTTGTTTTGATCAAATTGTTCGTTTTTCATTCAACAAGAGAATTTTCACTAATGTGCTCAGAGTGTTCGTTGATTTGTGACTGTGAGATGTGCCAACAAGAGTATGTATGTCAGTGAAGGTCCATTATTTTCATATAGATATTAATAACATTGATGACTTGTTTTTTTCCTATTATTGAGGATGCGGATTTCTTAAAAAAAAACAGGAACTATAAACACTACCAAAATGGTGAAGCAATAGGAATTGGCAAAAATGTGACATTGGGATATTGATATTGTGACATTGTCAAGAAGTGACATATCTATTCTTCTCCTATGCAAACGGTTGGTCTGGCTGAAAACCCTTTTTTCCCCAATTCGAACCTCTGCTCCTCTGTGGGTGCTCGAACAGAGAGTTGGCCGGAAATTGTTAGTTGGTTGTTGATCACAACCTCCCCTTGTGATCTAGTGGTGCGTTTTTCATCCTTTGTGGGTGAATCCTGTGGAGACCTGAGCTGGAACCGAGACTAACAGTCGTCCTTTGTCTCCTTTGTCATCGGCTCGTCTCCTTGATCTCCAATCCCTAATCTTCCATTGCAACGAAGACTTCGTAAGATCTTTCTATTTCATAGATTTTGTTGCCCTTGTTTTGATGTTCAACCGTTACCCCAGAATAATGAAATTTTCCTTAACGAACATTACCACTCTTTCAATTACTCTGTTTGATTTTATGCCATGTCCACCAGTTATCAGGTTGTTGGTACCAAGTACCTCACGTCGGGTGCTCACAATTACATCCAAATCAATAACTTGGTATGTATCTTTCTCATTTCCTGCAAACAACCCATCAACAACTTCAATTGCTTCATTCCAGAAATTTTCTCTAGGCGAAAAGATGGAGGCACCATGTCCTGATGTTGGAGTAACGTTGGCCACATGTTCCATAGTGGCCAAACCTGGTGTTAGAGATTCAGTTGCTCTAGAAACAGGAACCTTATTACATCTTCTGAACCTTATTTGAGGTTCAACAAGTCTATCCTTTCTCACCTACCATAGAATAGATAAAAGGAAGCCTAAGTTCTCATTTCATAAAACCATTAAGATTAACTTTAAAATGGGATCAACTTTTGAAGGATTTTTAAAAAATATTACCAGACTGTTTTTCTTGAAGAAATATACGTTGGATCTTGAGGTACAGAGTTGTTCAAGAGGAAATGAGATAACTAGGGAGAAGGGTGATTTAACTGTTTATTCAATTAAATTTGAACTATATTACCCCCAAACACTGTTTTAGTCATTGCACAACCAAAGCACCAATTTTAACAATATATCAAATCATGTTGTAAATTTTCACAGCAAAAGAAATGACTGCCCAATTTCTCTAGACCCAGCGCTATCACATACGCACTTGACTCACAAAGTTTCAGTTCGATTGGTTCATTACAATCTTCCTAGTAATCAACCAACCAATCAGAACTGTGCCTCTAATGATGCTATTAGGGATCCTGCTTTCACGCAGAAAAAAAAAGACAAGAGTAATGCTATACAAATGCTGGTTGGTAGATTTCAAGTAATAGAAACTAAAAAATATTTGCTTAACCTTTAGTGGGTTGGGGGGGGGGGGGGGACATATTCGTTGTTTTGAATTTGTAGATTACATTTAGGACAGTTCAGTAAGGTCTATTTGACATAAATGACTCAATCTACTCAATCTCTTTAATAACAATCACCTCAGCCAATAGAAGTTGAAAAGCTACTAATTCTACTCATTAATAAGGTACAACTGGAAATGGAACTGGACTTAAGAGACCACATCTCCCAGGAAGTAGCAACACATAGTTTTTTGACACTAAGAACCGTAATGGCATCAGCTATACCCTAAGCTATTTCACATTGTGCAGAAAACTATTCTCATGGAGATAATAAGAAACACAAGTTCATAAATATTTTCACTGATATATACTGGCAAGGCACCTTAAATGTGTTTTTAAACTTAAGTAAAAATTCTGAAACTCAAATATCAACTTGGAAATGGATGTAGAAGAGAAATATGAAGTGGAGGTTTCAGGGACATTCTGAATGAGGTCATCGTAGCCTCATAGGGATCACGCCAACCTGTTGCTTGAATAATCTTACCAAATTAAATGACTTAGTTCAAAGATTCATACCAAGATAACATTTTCAAATTTTAAACCCATCAATTTCAATGTGAATGGCCCTAAACAATCAAGTCAATGGATGTGAGTATTCGGAGTCCTAATCATAATAGCAAAACAACACCAATAAAGCTAATAAGAAGCTGACACAAACCGAACAAGAAAACAATGATAATAATATGAGTATGAAGCAGACAGAAACATTATCAAATGCTAATAGTACTAAATTAATAATTAGTAATAAAAAACTAATAATAATAGGACGATTGCTTCAAATTACTTCTCCATGTTACTGTGACACTCATAGTCTCACACGAGACAATCTCGCATCAGTTTCAACACAGGTTTCAGACTGAGAGACTGAAAAATGTTTCTATTACAAAAACTGTGCATTTCGATGTTTCTGAATTTCCAAATCTCAGGCTTCACTTTTACTAAGCCCTTTCCCGAGTGTTACAAACAGCCTTACAGCCTACATGCTCATAGTATTTATAAAGAAATCTTGAATGTCACAAAGAAGGATGATGATACTCGATTCACATTATGAATAAGCGGCTTTAGGATTTCACATCATGAATGAACAATTATAGGATTTCATATTATGAATGAACAGCTTTAGGATTTCAATTACACCCTAAATAAACCGAACTACATACTAGCCAAGAATAAAAGTGAAATTCAATTAAATAAAAGTACTTTTTAGAAGAAGAAAACTTCAAAATGTTATCCGCATACAAACATTCAATTTTTTGCAGCAGAAATTAAAGTTAAATTATCATCTATGTATGTTTTGATAATTTATGGGCTCGTGATGAAGAAAGAGAGGCTTTTCTTAGCTTTGTAGATGCGAGGGTCATGGTAAGCTAGGACCTCTTCTCCTTCGAAGAGATGCTGGAATTCGAGATCGGAATGCTGGGAGAGTTATCGCCATCCATGGCGGCATGAAGCCAAGAGTTTTACTCATCAATTCGAAGTACATGCTGGCTTACTTTGACATCTCTCAGACTATCTGGAGTGGTGGGAGATCCGTCTAGAGACGTAAAGGCCCATACCACTCTTCGATTCAAACAATAGTCGTCCGGAAAGAAGATACGAACCGGAAAATAAGAGTGACGGTGAACAATACTTGGTGCGATGCAGATCCGTATCTGGAGAATCTGGCCCGGCTAAAACTTTTTCGGTTACTTTCAGGGTCGGAAGCGAATTCTGTGATTAAAAGCGATGAAAAATCAGAGGTAAATCAGTCCATGGAGAAGCCGGTGCTGCTAAGATTTCCCAGTTGCATCGTTAACGGCTTAACGCGAGACGGAAGTGAGGTTAGAGAGAAGGCAGAGCTTCTCTGTCATCCAAGTGTTCATCATGCCTCTATTTCTTAATTCTTATTTCATACGAAGTACATTTGTTATTACTCGGTACTAGTAGCTCACCCGTGCGATGCACGGCAAAAAGCTTAAATACATATAATTAAAAAAAATGTTCTCAAAAATCATATTGTCACATCAATTAAAAGAATTAAAGTTGAATAAGAAACATTAGATCTACAAATTATGAAAAACTTTTCTGTAGACAACATTATGCTTTGTGCATCACCATCTACTAACAAAAATTTCAACCTTTTTCAATTAGTAACTCTGAAAATCGCAACATAAAGTTGACCATGAGAGATTTCTTCAACAACCCCACATTAGAGAGAGATTGGTCTTGACTTTTATTAATTATCTTTGCATAAGCAACCATTATTGGAAATTGTCTACTCTGAAATTTGAATGGATGTCTTTCATCTGAAAGCGTTAGTGATAATCTTGGAATGAGAACGTGTTCACCCATGCTTCTACCACTGATAATTGTGGCTTCTAAAATATGGTCATCGAGCTTACTGATTATATCCTAGTACCATTACATAATCCCATAAAATGGTCTATGTTTCGCAAAAGCATCACATGAGTACCAACTTTCAAAGTGAGCTCATGATTGGATACACCAATTTTAGTAGTTACACTCAACTAAATACGTAGCATGTTGATGGCATGACTCACAAAATATTGTGAAAGTTTAGCAAAACGAAGACTTTTATGCATTAAAATATCGCATGTGTTACTCCTTGCCACATTATCTTTGCCCCGCTTTACTGTTTTCATTCATTCAAATAAGTTTGTGTCATGCCATATTTTATAAAGTTTGATTGATTACAATTTATTTTTTTTATTTACTCTTTACCAATTCATTAATATGTACTACTCAATTTCACCTTTCTTTATAATCACACCACACCTTTTGTCCGAATTTAGGGGGCATAAGTATAAGTATTATATACAAATTAAACACTAATAAAATAAATATGAAATGAATCGTTTGATTTCAAAATGAATGATAATCACGGTATAAAGTTAGGATTTATCCACAACTTTTTACACTTCCTTTTATGACAATTTATTTTATAGTATTTAATATTTACAAAGATGTCCAAATCCCGGTATGTACTACACTACTACGTAAGATATGTGTGTTTTAACTTGATCAAATACCAAGTTTTATAAAACTAACAATTGCACGAATTATAATAAGTAGTGCTTTTTTACTATAAAGTTTTAGAGAGTGGTTTGAGAGTGATTTGGAAATAAAAGAACGTAAATAGAAAAAAAATGAAGTATATATGAGCTAAATATTTATCTGTAGCATATTTTTTTGCTATGCCTTCTAATCTATTATATTCATCAATATCTTTTTAGTTAAATACCCGAACATAATGACAATTGGAAGATTATAATTAACTTGTTCAAATTTCAATTTAACAGTGTTTTATATTGTCATAAATGACATTTTCCATACTATGAAAGAAGACTGAGAAAACCAATAATATTAAAAATATTTTAAAATCATGCAATTTTCATTTATTAAAAAATACAAAGAATTATCTAAAAAGTGCTTAATTTCAACCCAATACACTGTCCACCATCCCATTTTTTTTTTTACATTGAGCAATAAGCTCACCCAGCCCATAGGTTTTTTCTTTATCAACAAATCCACCCAGTCCAATTGTTTTTCACTGATCAGCACACAGCCCACTTCTAAACCATATACGAAGTATACAATTACGTCACTTAGGGTTTTACGGAAACGAATCGATTCACCTTCCACCTTCGAGTCTCCACGCCCTCCTTCTCCATTGTCCCGTTCTTTAGATTCTTCGTCTAACAAAAAATTTCGATTTTAATCAACGGAGCTCGTCGCTAGTGTCTCGTTATGGTAATTTTTAGTTTTACTTCCTTTAGTTTTATTTTCATCCATGATTTTCATAGATGAAAATCATTCCAATAATTTTTAGTTTTACTTCCTTTAATTTTATTTGGGTAACCGTTTCCCCAAATAATACCAAATAACCATTTTTTTGGAAAACAAATAACCAATTTTTAATCTTACTTGTTATTTATAATTTATATATTCAAAGCACCCTAAAACATATTGTACAAAAGTAAACATTTAAGCAATCAAACAGACTGGCCTAAACACATTAGTATAACATGCACCTAATATCTCTTGTAACATAATAAAAAAGTAGTAATCGTCCCAGAATCCAAATTCCAAAAATAGGTTTAGGCTTATATTTAGTTTTAAGCCTTAAAAAGTAGTATACTTTTAGCATTATGTATATGATATATACTATTTAGTACACAATTTAGCATATATACTTATTATTCTCATATATAAAAAGTTATAATTCATTAATAATGGTATGGATCGGGTAACGGTGCGGGTACCCGCACCATTAGTGAACGGGGCAGTTTTGGGGCGGATAACGGGGCGGATTAGTATAGAACCATAACCGCACTATTAACCATTTAAAAAATTCCCCAGTCAAACCGGTTTTCTCCAGTTTGACCAAATCGGTTCGGTGCGGGTATCCAGCGGGTCGGTTGAAATTGCCATCTCTACGTATATCACAACCTTTTAGTACTGAGTATAAGGAATCACTTACGGCGTATTTGATTTCCTAACATCAATCGTTTCTTGCTATTGCAGGAGCTAGCTTCCCATTGAAGAAAACCATATTCAAGAGGATCTCACCATCAAAATTATAAGGTCTGAGCACTTTCAAATGTATACCTACTTTAAAATAATAAGGAGTTTCACCAAAACCTAAAAAAGTTTTTACATTAAGAAGTTGTGAAAAACATTCTTTTCTACTGAATTAAAATAACAAATAAGGAAAGTCTAGGAAATATATTTTTATAATCAATATATACATGTATATTCATTATAAATTTATTTTAATTTAAGATATACTCCTTACATTCTGCTAATTTTACTTTAATTTAAGATATACTCCTTACATTAAGTTTGTCTCAATAAGATTCTTTCATATTAAATTTTGTAAATTTTGGGTGATTTGAAATCATGCTTACTTTTGTTAAGTGGGACGGATTTAGTATTATTTATCTGTTTTGTGAAGAGTATTTAACATAAATAAGAACGTTATTTGAAATATGCATGTTAAGCATTTAGATATTTCCTGAAACTTAAATGCTTATGAATTACTTTAAAAAAATGATTATGAATACACAAATGTATATGTTTGTATATTAACAGAAAAAATCTATCACTCCTTGCAATAATATAAATCCTTGCAACCAAATTTATTAATCCTCTCAAATTTAAGGGAAAAAGCTAAATCAAGGCATTTCCTTTAACTTTCTATATAATATCTACATGGACATATTTTCAAGTGATAATTAACAAAACAAAACAAATGGACAAAATATAGAAATCATTTAATTGTGTCCGTTTTTACCTATAATTTCGTGTGTCATCAAAGATGGAAGCAAACTAAATTTAGATGTAAATTCAGAAGTAATTAACAGGAAGTCGTGTCTTTGAATTTCAAAGACATGGTCTTCATGGCAAACACTCAAACTATCTCTTGTATGCATTTTGTGTGATCCTAAATAGCGTAGATATGTCCTTGCTTGAATAGAGTTTGGAATTTTGACATTTGGTGTTTCTTAATATGCCCATGTACTCTTGACCCTTGAAACAAACAAATCAATCATTTGTTAAACCCTTTTTCCCTTCTTTAATTAGAAACACTGAAACAACCTTTTGGATGAACTTTTTTGTTATATATCACAATAGCTAATTTTATTTTGAATTTATATTTGTTAACCTTTGCATCACATAAAGACATAAAGTGTACACTCCATTCTTGGTTGGTGTTTCTCATTTGTATTAAACTATACTGAGACAGCCCAGATTCTTTCCGTCCATGAAGATTGAAGACTTTGATTCATGTCTTTTATACTCCACAGCCCTACCATCTCTCTTTCCGATTTGAGTGAATAAGGAAGACATCAAAATAATCAGCAAGCACCACTATCTCTAAAGTCAATTGCAAAGAGCGAACAACAAAGGGAAGAATGCAGTTGAGAAACATTGAGATATCTATTTATACTACTTATGATGTAAAGAGTCGAGAAATATTGAGCCTGTCAATTTAATAAATTCAACATATTTCCAAGGACAGCTTTTCAAAAATGCCTTCATTGTCTTGAATTCGTAAAGGAATACCAACAGTTGCACACTACTTGCACCGGCGTGAGTATGGGGAAATCAAACGTTTACTTAGAATTTTAACGGACAAATAATAAAACAGGTGGTCACTTAAGGCTGCACAGAGGCAAAAATACAGGCAGCATTAATTGTCAGAACAATCAAGTGCATTTCTCCGTATGTTAAGCATGATGGACTTCATGCATATTGGCGGGAACACTGTAGCAAAATCAATTTGCTATTATATTATAATAGATTACTTACTGCGAAGCACGTGTGGTACTTGGTATTACTCCCTCGTGCCCAATTTCCCGTTCCAAAATGATTTCTAGATTTCTATTTTAGATATGCAAATAAAAATAAAATGATAAATTTACCTTTATTTTCACTTTTTTCCCATTAATTTAGAGTCATCTACTTTTAGGAAGATAGACAAAAGTGTAAAAACAAATATCTTTTATTGTCATTCATTAATCCATGGGAATTGCATGTGCCGGTCAAAGTTTGCAATTCAATTCAATCCTTATGTATCATTTACTTAGTCAATGTATTACTACCTCCGGTCCCACTAAATTTGGGACAATTTGGTTTACGATGCTTGACAGACCCTGTCCGCACTTAAATTTTAGAAAAAAAATTGTATATTCAGAAACTACGTTAAAAATCTTACAAAGTCGCAAAAATCAGAATCAAATTTGATAAAAATTTGACATATAAAGTAAGTGATCAAGAGACATTTGTGTTGACAAAGTGAATAGTGTATGAGACAATCTTAGCTGGATGGAGAGAATTGAATATAATGTTACTTATTTTTTCTTTGTTTTATTTGAAAGTTTAAGGAAGGTCAGAAGGTGTTACCATTTATACTTGTATAAAATGATAAGATGTATTTATAATATAATTACTTCGTATGAATATAGTTAGGTTGGACGTAAAATACACTATTGCACATGCATGGTGACATGCATTTGGATCAATTATTCAACCCAAAATTCGATCTGCTTCGATCCTAAAGGACTTGAAGGTTTAAACTATAAATGGCGGGTGCATCGCAGAGCATATATTTTGTAAAATATACGGATGGAGTATATGCAAAGAGAATCAAGGAGTAATAGACTAATACATACGGAGTACATAGAAGTAATAGAACATATGGTGAAAGATGTACTAGCTAGCTTCCGATCGAATAATTAAACTCATATTCAAAAAGATTTCTCTTTGGTAGAATGTATTCTCAATAGTCAATCCTATCATCAATGTACATGTAGTTATAATATGGAAAATGAAAAATATCACGCAAGTCTAATAATTAACTTTTACACCGTACGTGTATCATTTTAGATATCTAGTAAATACCGTACGCGCGTGTAGTATACCATCTATCATCATCTAGTAAATTAATACCAAGTATACCATACGTGTACCATGTCCATTGATGATAGATGGTGTATCATTTTTTGTTTGTAATCAATTTCTTTAGTCGTCACAAACTCAGAGCATATATATACTACTGGTATTTAATTTACTAGTAGATGATACACCTTAAACAAAAGATGATAGAGCTTTACATACTCAGCTTTGGACATGCATAATGCATAATGCATAATGTATTTCATCAAATCATATACGTTTAATTTGGATGGTAGTATATATATAAATGCAAATGTATCGTATAGACTTCATTAATAACGAACTAGTGGTACTGTACGGTGTTTCATGCTGAAGATTGCCAACAAAAAAAAATGTCTAGTGATAGATCAAAGTAAGTAAACAATACAAAATGAAAACTCGATCCGATCCATGCATGCTTTTCTTCATCACATCAAGTTGCCGCATGTATTCCTTCCTCCAATTCAAATAACTGAAACACAACATAACAAAATTAAATTCTGTGTTATACGAAGTATATAATTCCTCAGATCACAGCATATACTATTCACATCATCACATTAAGTTGCGGAAGTATATATATAGTTATAATATGGAAAGATCGTGCATGCCTAATTAACTTTTTCACCATATGCATCAAATGGTGTGGTGGATCATTTTTCGTTTGTAATTAATGTCTCTAGGCGGTTACAAACTCACAGCATATATCATTAGTCCACGTACTCCTTAATTAGGTTTGGACATGCATAATAAACTCATCAAATGTATAATATAGCTAGACTTGATGAATAATTAAAATTAAAGCTGCATGCATGCATGCCTAGTGAAGATTCGATCCGTATTAATTAAATTAAAACTCCAACAATAAATTAAATTTCGAATTAATTAAAACAAATGAATACGTACGTGCGTATGGGTATGTCAGCTAATTAATTATATGAAGCTTGCAGTGGCCCGACCCGTTTGTTGTACACCCTACACAGGTACCATTCCTGATCATTCGGCTGAACCGTAGAAGATAGCAAAAAATGGAGTATTAGTTAGAATGGTACGGTGCTCGATCTATCATGATAATATATATATATATAGGGTATGCATGTATTTTAGTTAATTTCTTGTAATCCATACGCGCACATACCGGTACAGCTGCTGCGGCGAGGGGAGGGGCGGCGTTGTATTCGTCCAGCCTCCACGCCGTCTTGATCCCATTCCTGATGAGCACCAGGGTCTTCTTGAAGCCATAATAAGTTGACCCAGCTCGGACTCGGACGGTTTTGGTGTTCCCTCTTTGCTCCCAAAACTCATCTGCAAGCAGCGGGGGGTTCTCCTCCTCATAAGCCCATGGAGTGAAAAAGTACCATTCGTCCTCTCCCAGCCCCAGCATATCAACATATCCTATTACATACTTAATTGATTAAAAGTTCGTCGGTGAAACACTGTGCCGGCCGGCGGCCGAATAATATGCCGCGGTACGTACCTGCGGTGAGTTCTTCCGGAGTTTGGAGGTAGAAATCCCGCACTTCTGGAATTCGGTGGTCAACTTCCTGCTGCAGTCTTTTCTTTGTCAGCATGTCCAAAAGCTCCTCGTCGCATGGCCAGAAACGATACCCCGGAGGTAAATTCGCCACCGCCGGAGGGAGATTATTGGCCGCCGGAACCTCCGGATCCATGAGATGCAATGATCGATTCTTTGAATTGGTGCCCTGCAGATATATAGATCAGATAATAGCTAGGTTCTTGATCGATGATCATAGAGAACAATTATTTATATACGTTACTGATCGAAGCTAGTTTTTCCCGTTGTAACGGATTAACAACCTAACTAACATCTTCTGGAAGCTATTTTAATTTTGGATCCAACCGTCTTTAATTTGCGCGCTTAATATATATTCGTATATAGCTAGCTAGCTTTAATGGTCTAATTACTTCTATGAGATTTTGTACATGTTTATATAGGCTAATTATTTATTTTTTTGCTTACTGCGTTTGGTAATTGCGGCAACTTATATATTGACAACATTACAAATCATTATACAAATCTTAGTATATAAGAGGATTTGGAGTTGTGTAGGTGAGAGTCTAAATGTCAAAAATGGATTCCGTCCATATGAAAACAGTGTTTTGACTCATATTTCTTTGTATTCCTGCACCGTAAAAAAAATACATTATGCATACTCTTTTGTTTTCGGGCAAAGAATTGTGTAATAATAAGAAAAATTAAGGTGAATTTCTTTTTTGGCTAATATGGATCTTAATTATAGTGTTTTTTACACCATATGCCCTTGGTTTTAGTGATGTGCCAAATTTCGATTGCCCATTTTATGTATCTTCTAAGAGAATATTACCCAAAATAGGATTAAAAAAGTTTGAAAATTTCAAAATAGGAATGCCACATTTTTATTCCCAAAATAGGACTAATTACTGTTATGTTTTGACAGTACCAGACTTCAAACATGGCAGTATTTTCCAAACTTGACAGTAATTACTCATATTTTGGGAATAAAAAACATGACATTCCTAACTACTTACGACCTACTGAAGCATGGACGACATTTCAAGAAGACTTAAATTAGCAACACAAATGTACAACGTTTGGATGGGTTAGAAGGCATTCATAAATTATAAATATGTTTTTTTGGGGGTATGAAACTCTACTTATCACTGTAACCCAAAAATACTTCTATTAATATTTAGTTCTAAAGTTGTTATTCTATTGATGTAGAGGCCGATTGGTAACACTGTTTTTCGGCTTATCAGGCTTATCAGCCAACTTTTTCACCAAACACGTAATTTTTTATTGCGCGCACTGAATTGTGTAATAAGCAGAAAAAGTAAGGTTGGAGTTACTTTTATGGCTGTATTGGCTGAAGTTACTGTGGATGCCTATTTTAGTTATTTTTACATATAATTTTTTCTTTATTTTATTAATAAAATATACATTAAAAATAAATTTTTCTTAAATTAGTAGAAACAGTCAATGCAGTCACTTCAGCCAGGACTTCATAAATTTCAGCAGAATCAGCCAAAACAGCCGATTTTGGTGCTACCAAACGGGCTCGTAATGGTTAGTGGGTAACTTTGATAATTGTCAACTTATTTGGAATGAAATTGTGGTATTATTTTTGTTTTCCAACTGGGTGCTCTATGACATAATTGCAAAGATGAGTTATACTACTAATAAATAAGCCAACTGATAGCTAGAAGCTGGGAAGAAAATAACCATATACGAAGTACTTCGTATTGCAGTCCACAACTTTTAATTTCAATACAAAGCAGAGGAGAGCCAAGATAAAGTCACAATGAAGGTTTAGCTCATTGTTAGGCCCTTATCTACTGGTGAATTGTGATACTGAAAAATCCCATGCATAGCTATTGCCCATGATTTAGCTAGCGGATAATCAATATCAGAGAAATCTATTGCAAGTGTAAGAATTCTTAGCATAGGTTTAAATGTTTGTTCCTAAATTGTGGCCTACTGAGTTCTTTATTCCTAAGAATAGCTCTGAAGTTCCTGAATACATTGAGTCTTTGTTAGAATATTCCAATCTCTCAAAAGAAAGGGACTATTTTTGTTATCCATGGACCATTCACCACCACCTTCACAAGTCCTTCTGATCGATAGCTAGTTTATTTGTGTGTGCTGTCACTACTTTGAGGATGTTGTGAATAATTTTGTCAAATATGTTAGCTAGAGTACAAAGATGTAGTTTAGGGAAGAATTTTCTTGGTTTAGACTCTCTGTTCTGTGAATATCCCTTTAACTACGTGTGCATGCTAATTGTTTTGACTCCGTGTGGTGATTATCGTAAGTCCCGTTGTTCAGTTTGCTTGAGGACAAGCAAAGGCTTAAGTGTGGGGGAATTTGATAAGTCCGTGTTTTGACACGTATTTGATGCGTGTTGAGATCGGCTTTTGATCATTTTCCTAGTTTTAAGGTGTTGCAAGTCTCAATTTTAGCTCAGGTTATGTTTACCAGGCGTTGGTTCGAGTTTTGTGTCATTTGGAGTCAAAATCAGGAATTTAGAGTTCGGCACCGGCACTTGAGGAACAATCGGGATGATTTGAGAAGCATTTGAGAATGATTTGATAGCTTTGGAGGTCACCGGAAGATTCACGATGAAGATTTGAAGGAAAAAGAGCTCTAGGATTGGCTATGGGGTCAAAAGAAGATGAATGAAGCTTGAAAACGACGATCAGGATGACCTTCTGTCAATCGTTCAAGCATATCTCTTTGTAGAAACATCCAATGTACACGATTCAAGCTTCATATGAAAGCTACCTTCAAGGGATACAAATCATATGAAGACACCTTGGCGAGAATCTGAGAGGAAGAAGGTGAAAACAGACGATGAAGTCAGATGATCTCTGCTGCGATTTCAGAAAGACACCTTCCACCGTTTTGATCATATCTCTTGATTGGATGATTCAAATCACATTCGGCAAATTGGAGTGTATAGAGGACTTCATTATCTACAACTTTCATGAAGGAAGTTTTGTCAAATTCAGAAGTTAAGTAGGCACGATCGTTCCCTCAAAGTCAGACACGATCGTGCCCGAAGAGAAAAACACGGTCGTGCACGATCGTGCCCAAAACGCGCATTTTGGGCAGGCACGATCGTGCCTGCCCAAAATGCGCGTTTTTGCTCCGGAGGCACGATCGAAGGCGCGATCGTGCCTGGCATCGTGTCTGGCTCCGAAAATCCTAATTCAGCTCAAATTTCACCCGATTTTTCTATTTAAACAGCCTGTAAACCCCCGTTTTCAGGGGGAGCTTAGAGAGAGTGCCTAGCACGAATTTTAGAGGGATTTTCAGCCTTGTTCATCAATCTTTTGGTATTCTTTGTAAGTTCCACCTTTTTAATTAATGACAATTAATTCCTTTTATTCCAATTCTATTGATTCTTCAATTATGAAGTGTGAGTAGTTTTAATTAGGGATTTGGGATTGATGAAGGGGTTAATCATGATGTATGGCTAGATTCTTTTCGGTTTAATTGCATGAATGCCGTTTAATTTGTGTTTGAATAATTTAATTGATATCTTTTGTAACCTAGAATCGCGAGTAGAATTGCAATTGCATGTAGAATAAATTAAGAGAGATCTAATTTGTTCTAGGACACATTCACACACACTTAATCGTTCGCTAAGAGATTAGTAGCGATTAAGGGGCCGTAAGCTCGCTCGTCTTGGCAATAATTTAGGATCCTGTCGCATGAGAGATCAGCCTGGTCACCTAAATTATTGTACTCTACGCCGCGAGAGCGGTAAGAACTTATAAGTAATGATTAGCTAGGCTCAATTAAATTAATTTCATGTAATTAGGCCTGATCTGCCAGAAATCTGGTTACCCCGGAATCGATCCATGTTCCCTTCGTCATTAATTAGAAAGAACCCCCTAGTTTAATTGTTCGCATTAGTTTTATTTTCCAAACCAACCAATTCTCGCACGACGCTTTATTTTTTTTTTTTTAATCGCTGAATTTAATTAATTCTTGATTCCCTTTTGTCCGTCCCTGTGGAGACGATACTCGTACTTACACCACTATATTACGATCTATTTTAAGTGCGAGAAAACACACATCACTTGTCCAAATTTTGCTAAAACAATTTGGCGCCGTCTGTGGGAGACGTGCAAGAAAAACTAATATCCATGGAAGGTCATAGCTCAATGACAAAGGCGGGACTCAAGATGCAATCGCAAGTTGGGAAGGAAGAAACAAAAACTATCATCTTGTCAATTGCTCATACACCATCCATGTAACACTTAAGATTAATATAAAAAGGATTAATAGGACTACTCATACCAACAGAGATGCATGACTGAGGGCGCGCATGAGTGAGGACAAAGTGCGCGGTAAAGGCTCGTGGTGGTTTGTGGGGACAGTACTAGTGGTCTGGAGTAACTACCTCGGGTCCTATAGGGCCGGGGTGTTACAAACCGTCACCGCTGGTTTCATCTCGTTGAACTCGACAACACCTTACAGACTTAAAAATGCTGGGAGCAACTCTCAATGGCCAATGACGATGGTGTTCAAAAATCAAAGCGGGAAAACCATGGAATTGTGTGCAGATGATGTGATGATTTCGTCAAAGTGTACTATTGGAGCCTCCTTATGTGGTTGGGTACTTAGGCGCATTTTCGGTAGCAAAGCAATTGCAAAGAATCCAAAAATGAAGGGAAACATTGACATCATCAAAATCCTGACGACTTGTTTCGATGAACGTACCACCCAACAAGCTAAGTCCCGAGGGAAGAGAATACGCAGGATGATGATCTGGCGGATCTAGGAATATGTCGGGCCTTGGAAGTCAGTAGAAACGACAAATTGGTGTATTTGACAAAACTGACGATTGATAGATCAGGCGAAATGTCTGAAGTCGTCGGCTAGGGGACATATCTCCCAATAATAAACAGATTCTGAAGAGCTGCAATACAGTACTCCTAAAGTTGTTTCACATTTAGTTTATTACTTTCTTTTACATATTGTCGTCATTCCCGTAATGAAATAGACCAGTCGACATGACTGAAATCGTCAGACAGGGGGGCATGTCATCAGGTAATAAACCTGACGAGATGAGTGAAATCGTCTGGCTATAGATGTGTTATGACGATAGATACTTGGTCTCATATACATATTCTTAATTTATTACTTTCATTTATCTATAAACGATCACTAACTTAAGCGTCGGAGGGCCGTAGGCTAAAAGCCAACGACCAGACTCTAACAACATGTCTGTATGCAGGATATCGACGAAATGAGAGACAGTCAGTACTGTATACACACAATGAAAAATGCTAACGATA